TAGCTCAGCTGGAATTCCTCCGAAACCATGCTACTGCCCAGCTTTATGCGTTACATTGTAGGATTTTGAAATTGCATTGAGAGCATGGCTTCTGTTCTCTGAGTGTGCAGTAATGAAGCGTATAGAATACACATATATTTACATGCTAATTTGTTCATTTTCTGGCCCCGTCACACAGAATATAGGCTCCAGTGAGAGCCCCTGTGTGTTTTATTCTGGCAGTGTCCCCGTGCCGGTGCTTAGGAAGGGCTCAGTAATTCTGCGGTGTGGCTTAAGTAGGTCGTGTCTCTCCTTACGTGGATGTCTTTGCTGCCTGAGCAGCTGCCCTGCGCGGGATCCACCTGCCTGGGGCAGGGAGGCTGGTCCTCAGTGCTTCTCCCCTCCTGGCCTCACTGCTGAGGGCACCCCTTTCCTGCTCGGGCGTCCACACCTCCCTGACCGCTGGTTCTTGAAGCCGCTCCCCCACATCTCCCGAGGGTGATGCATTTGTCTGTTTTGCTTTCCCTTTCTTCCAGGTGTTCTTTCAGGGTAATTAGATTAATTTATGCATAAGACGGGCTCTTCAAAATGCAGTACCTCTTCTGGAAAAGAATGAAGGCTCTTTTCAGAAGGTGGTGTTTTAAAAACACGTTTTAAGACCTAACCGAGAAGGGAGCAAATCAGGACGGAGCTCAGTTAAGAGGACGTGGAGGGTGTTCCGTCCTGTGTGACGTCGGGGGCCAGGGATTGCGAGAGATGCTGAGGGCAGAGGGGTCGGATGCAGTGACCACAGGGTCCGGCTCACCGCTGGCTGCCCTGCCTGACCTGTGTGCCAGGAGCCCTGCTAGACGCCGGGACAAGACAGAGTCCATGCTCTCCTGGGGTGTTCATCCTACACGGAAACGTGGCGAAAGTCACAAAGGCAAACCAGTGTGGAAGTTAAAATGTCTCGTAGACACATCGGCAAAGTGTCATTAAAAGAAGTAAATGAAATTAATTTCAGTACTGCATTGTGGGTAACCCGGTCTTGAGTGAATCCACACGGTATTGTTTCAGCGTGTAATCAACATGAAAATGACTAGTGAGAGCCTTTGCCTTCTCTTGATGCTCAGTCTTCAAAATCCAGTGCATTGACCTCCGTTGTTTAGCCCCTCAGTCGTGTCCAACTCTCTGTGACCCCAGAGATTGCAGCACACCAGGTCTCCCTGTCCTTCACCGTCTCCCGGAGTTTGCTCAGATTCACATCCATCGAGTCGGTGATGCCATCCAACCCTCTCATCCTCTGTCGTCCCCTTCTCCTCCTGCCTTCAATGTTTCCCAGCATCAGGGTCTTTGACAATGAGTCGGTGCTTTGCACGTAGTGGCCAAAGTTTTGGAGCTTCAGCATCAGTCCTTCCAATGAGTACTGAGGGTTGACACTCGCAGAACTCCTCAGTTCAGGCTGACTGTACCCCATGTGTGGCTCGTGGCTGCCATGCTGGACAGTAGCATCAGTGACAATAAACCAGTGAAGAAACAGATAGAACATGTACTGAGTTCATCTATAAACAGCATAACTTCGGTATTGAGTCTCATGAGCCGTTAGGAAGGGCTCAGAATATCGAGGGAGTCGTGAGGGAAACGGAAAGAAGCCAGGCGAGAGGGGAGAGGGGCTGCTTGGTGGGGGGTGCTGCCTGGAGCTGACCCCCAGGCAGAACCGGGGGGGGCGAGGGTCAGTCCTCCTGAGGCTGCACACGGGGCGTCTGGTGCAGCAATGGCCCTGAGGCGGGCACGCCGGGCGTGTTCAAGGTGCGGAATGTGAGAAGGGGGGGTGGACTCCGAGCTGTCGGGCTGGGGCCGGGCACTGCGGAGCCTCACGGGCCGGGCGAGGAGCTTGTTTCTGCAGGAGGCGAATCGTGCTCCTGCTTCCTCTGCCATGTCAAAGGATGCCGTCCAGGATGTCAACCCTTAAATGCAGCCATTATCGTGTCTTGCTGTCAGCGTCCCTGGCGTACGTATGGCCACTGCCGTGACTCCTCCGTGCCTCGACATGGGGACACCGCGTCCGGGGTCCGAGGGGGTCAGGTGCCAGCGCCCCTGTGGGAAGGCATTTTGCCCCTGCGGGAGTCACAAGTCACTGGCGCGCCCTTTGAATGCATGTATTCCACGCGTCTCATGGCCACGCTTTTGAAGGGTTATGGGTGCACGGCAGCCTTTCTCTAGGACCAGATGTTTGGAGGGGGTTTCCTTCCCCTGAATGGAAGGAGCCAGCCCTGCTCCATCCTGGGGGTTAGGTCGAGCCCCACGCTCTGAGCACGCAGAGGCGTCAGAGGTCCTGGGGGCTGGACCGTGCGTCCCCACGAGGCTGACCGTTCGCTCTCCTTGCGGCCTACCGTCGCTTCAGTCTGGACACACTCCTTGCGACCCCAGGGACTGCACCCCGCCAGGCTCCTCTGTCCATGGGATTCTCCAGGCAAGAATACAGGAGTGGGGTGCTATGCCCGCCTCCAGGGGATCTTCCCAACCTGGGGATCAAACCTGTGTCTCTCATGTCTCCTGCATTGGCAGGCAGCTTCTTTACCACTAGTGCCACCTGGGAAGCCCCCTCCAGAGCCCCCTGCCCCCTGGTATGTATAGATACCCTCCCCTTTCCCAGCCCCTGCTCGCCAGGCCCAGAGGCTCCGTCTCTGGGGTTGGAGGCCAGCTGTAATCCACCCTCCGGGAGTCAGCCAAGTTAAGCTTGTCGCTCTCAGAGAGTGATTTAAGATATCACTGGGCCGTGTGCTCCCCTGTTCCTATTACAACAGGTGTGGGACTGCTGGCTTTGTGAAAACAGCTCCTTTGGACCCCGTTAGAGAAGTTCTAAATGTTACTACTCCCATAATAGCCTGGCCTGACTGGGGGCCCCCTTCCTACCCAGACCACAAGTTCCCAGGTCTGACGTGGCCGTGTTTCTCCAGCTCAGCACCCTGTGGGGGCTGCGGTGATGATGGCTGATTTCCGAACAAGCTCAGGGGCGTTTTCACTTAGACAGAAAGCCACGTGTTATCTCCGACAGTTTGACCTAGGTCCTCATGGTCTGCTTCAGTTGCAGGGGTGTCCGGGAAGTGTTTGGCGGGTACCGTGGGCTGGAGTGCAGGCGACCTCTGCACAAATGTGTCTGTAAGACCCCCCATGCCTCACAGCTCCGCAGTGGGCGAACTCGGTGGTCCGAAAGCGCAGCGCACGTACGTGTTCTCACGGGGACCCTCTGCCTTCAGTTCCCATGCCGAGGAATTGAAATCTCAGCCTCTGTGGACCTCAGGATCTGATCCTAGTTTTCCAGTGGCTCTTTTTTTTAACACCTGGATCCCTGACCCATTTGGAATTTGTTCTCATGTAAGGTGTGAACTGTAGACCTAATGCTATTTTTTCCCCAGATAACTAATCTCATGTTTGTTATCAAGTCCATCTTGCCCCAGTGACTTGAGATGCCACCTTTATCAAATGCCAAATTCCTCTCTCTGCCTGGGGCTATTTTTGGACTTTCTGGCATCTCCATGCCAGTACCATGCTGTCTGAAAACGTGGCTTCAGTGTCTGGCCAAGCCTTCTTGCCTCTCAGATATTAAATTCGATTCTTGCATTTTTAAGCTTAAGGGCTTTGCAGTGAAGTGAAGTTGCTCAGTTGTGTCCGGCTCTTTGCGACCCCATGGACTATAGCCTACCAGTCTCCTCCATCCATGGGATTTTCCAGGCAAGAATACTGGAGTGGGTTGCCATTTTCTTCTCCAGGGGATCTTCCCAAGAGCTTTAGTATTAGCACATTATTGACTAGGGTTTTTCTGCAGAAACTAATGCCTGTGACTGGTGATTTGTTATCTAAGCGAGTTTTGAAACACTCCCGGCCATAACATTCAGGTAACAGGAGATACATTAACACCTCTCTGGTTGATAAGTTGTTAATAATCTAACTTCACAAGAAAGCTTGTTGCTATTTTACTGGGATTGTTTAAACTTCATAAATTGATTTAAGGAAAACTGGCAGCTGTATGATGATGTCATTCTAAGAGGCAAGAATGTCTGCATTTGTTTCTAAATATTTATTGCGTCTTTCAAAGGTGTTTAATGTAGGTTTTGCATACTTATTATTAAGTTTATCCCCAAATATCTTCTTTGTTTTTTATCATACAAGGGGTTTTGTCTTCCTGATGTCCTCTGAGTTATATTTTTAAGGCCGTTGATTTCTGTGTGCTGATTTTAACTTTTGTTCCTTTGCTTTAGTGCAAACTAGTGGTTATAATAAAATTCTAGTCCACATTATTGATTCATAATTAGAATTACATGAACAAAGCAGATACAATCTCACCAAGTCTTCTTTGGCTAAGCAATGGCACTATGTGCTAATTTTCAAGCCTGTCTTATAGTAAAAAAAAAAAAAACCCCACAAAAAACACTGTTTTCCACCTGTGAAGTTCCTGAGAGCCACCTAAGGAGTGTCATCAAGTAGAGGGGCTGGCACTCCCTCCGCATCCAAGGTTGTGGAGGAGGTCAGGGCGGGGGTGTCCTGGGGGCCGTCTGGTCAAGACCCAGAGTGTGAGCAGCTCAGATGGGTGAGTCAGACCGTGGGGCCGGCTCAGCAGGGGGTTTACCCCCTGCAAGGGACGGCATTTCCCCAGGAAGCCGAGGATGGCGCCCCCTCTCCCCCCGGAGCAGGGCGTCCGCCTGCAGCCCGTAGACGGAAATGACCTGGTGGCCCGGGCGCCTGCGGTTCAGAGACGCGGAGGCCGTGGAGTGAGCCCCAAAGGGGCAAGGACGGTGCCTGCAGACGCCCCGTTGCCCCTTATTTACATGTTTGCTTCTGACCTTCCCTAGCCGGGGGGCTGGGACTCCCCCTGGGACTCCCCCTCATGCCAGGCTATTTGGCGCGCGCGGTTCTGTCCTCTTTCACTTACATGTTTCTTCTTTGTCTGGTTGCTTGCTCTTTATTTCAGTTGCTTTTCTCACTTGCCATTTTCTGCGTCTCCACACCCCTGTCCCTGTCCTCCTTCCGTGCAGATGCACCTTTGCTCTCCTGTTTGCGGCTCGTGACTGCCCCGTGTCCGGACTGCCTGTGTTTGCGAGTGCACATGGACGGGAGCGTGTGATGGGTTTGCTCTGTCTTCCGCTTTGGGCACGAGGCGCCCAGCAGGCGCACCGGTTCCTTTGGGGGTGTCTGGCCATTGCTTTGTGATCCAGATGACTTTTCAGGGTGCATCCACACTGCCCCAGCGATGGCCGCTCGTGGCGCATGGACGGCTGCCCCCAAAGGACTGTGCTGTCCCCTCTGGAGCTGTGTAAGAACGGGACAGGAGGTGCTGGCCAGGCCTGCAAGGCCGTCCACTCCCCCAGCCGGAGACAGCTCTCCACAGCCCCTCCGACCGCAGCCTTCCCGCGTCGCCCCCGCAGGCTCACACCGGCTTGTACAGAGCGGAGTGTCAGTACTGTTTGATCGTGTGTTTCTCTGATCGCTGAGTATCCCTTCAGTACATTTTCTGTTATAAATTCCCCATCTATATTCTCTGCCCATTTTTTCCCCTTTGGGGTCAGTTGACTTTTTCTTGTTGATTTTCAGGAGTTCCTTGTACCTTTGATAGATGAGCCCTGATTTGGCTTCAGGAGCTCCTTGTGCCTTTGATAGATGAGCCCCTGATTTGTCTTTGGTAAACAGCCCCACCTTTTCCTTGTCTTTCCCTGTTTATCCTTGGCATCCTTTGTTGAAAGGAAATCCTGAATTTTGACGTAATCAAATTCCTGTTCTGTTTTGTTTTTTCCGTTTTCCGTCTTGTGGTCTGTGCATGTGTGTGTGTGTGTTTACTTTCATCTGTTTATCTGCCTGAGCTGGGTCTCCGTTTCTGCTCGGGCATCTCTCTAGCTGTGAGTATCTGGGGGCTCCTCTTGGGTGAGGCGTGCGGGCCTCTCATCGCGGGGCGTCCCTTCTTGTGCAGAGCAGGCTCTAGGCTTGCGGGCTTTAGTGGTGGCGGCTCCCAGGCTCTAGAGCGCTGACTGGGTAGCTGTGGCGTGTGGGCTTGGCCCACGGCATGTTGGGTCTTCCCAGACCAGGGATCAAAACCATGTCCCCTGCGTTGGCAGGCAGAGTCTTTGTCACTGAGCCAAAGGGAAGCCCCCTGATTTGTGGCTTTTTAAATTTAAGGTGTCTTCTCTCCACCTCGGTAACAAAGACAATATGCAGCGTCTTTTAAAGCCTGTCTTTTACCTTTGGGTCTATAAAATTGTGAGGTATTAAAATTCATCTTTATTTTTCCAACACTATTTACTAAACCCTCTGCCACCTCTCTGGCTCAAATGGTAAAGAATCTGCCTGCAATGTGGGACACCCAATTTCCATCCCTGGGTTGAGAAGATCCCCTGGAGAAGAGAATGGCAACCCACTCCAGTATGCTGGCCTGGAGAATCCCATGGGCAGAGAAGCCTGGCAGGCTACAGTTTATGGGGTCACAAAGCGTCAGGCAGACCTGAGCGACTAACACTTTGACTTTTCACTGCCACCTCTAGTTCTTGCTCTTTTGTGGGGAGAAATTGGTGATTTGACGACATTCATTTCTGGGTTAAAAATATTACAATTAATTGTACCCACGTCCCTTAATTTAAGCCTCTCATTCTGCTCTTTTGGTGGTTCCTAATGAATCCTTTGTATTAATTGAAGGAGTCATTGGGTCCAGAAAAGAAAACAAAAGTCTCAAAGGCCCTTGCTGAATCATCTAACTTCGGAGAAAACAAAACAGAACTTTAGGTCCCGCCCTGATGCTCCAGGCTGATTGCATCTGTCTGAGACTTATCACCCCCTGTCCAGAAGCCTCCCACCCCCTACACCTGCCCAGAAACTTATCACGCCCTGCCCAACTACAAATGCCATCTCAACTAAAGAATACCCAAACATCTCGCCTGATTAACGTTTCCCTTGTCGCGTCCACAAACCTCCCTATAAATGTGGAGCCTCCCTGACCCCTCTCAGCGCTCAGCCTGGTCATCAGGCCGACAGTCGCCCCTCCTTGCCTGAATAAAGGTAACCTACTTCCGTTGAAGTCGTCTTTCCTTTTCTGCCTCGGCCTGAACCGTACCTTACATTAATAGTTTCAAGCCCTCTTAAACGCTGAGAGTTAACAACTGGATCCTGGTAGCCTAGAGCTGTCAGATTTACACAAATAGAAACACAGCGTGCCAGTTCCATGTGAGGTTCAGATTGGCGATAAGTAACACTGTACCATAACCGTGTCCCAAATATTACGTGGGACACAGTCATACTGAAAATTAATTCATTGTTTGTCTGAAAATGTTACATTCATTTGAATGTGCCATGTGGCTTGCAGGGTCTTAGTTCCCCAACCAGGGACAGAACCTGTGCCCCGTGCAGTGGGAGCCTGGGGTCCTAACCCCTGGACCGCCAGGGAAACCCCCATCAGAACTTTTTTTTGCATTTTCATTTTTGGCTGCACCGGGTCTGCGTCGCTGCGTGCGGGCTTCTCCAGCTGGGACCGGTGGGGGCCACTCCGCAGCTGCGGCGCGTGGCCGTCTCACAGGCTCCAGGCGGCCAGGCTCAGGGGCTGTGTTGCAGGAAGGCGGACCCCTTCCAGGCCCTGAAACCGGGCTCTTGTCTAACACTCGGAAATGAACTGTCCGAGGAGACACGTGTGCTGACTAAGGAAGAGATTTTATTGGGAAGGGTGCCCGGGTGGAGAGCAGGAGGGTGAGGGAACCCAGGAGGACCACTCTGCCATGTGGCTCGCAGTCTTGGGTTTTATGGTGATGGGACTAGTTTCCGGGTGGTCTTTAGCCAATCCTTCTGACTCAGAGTCCTTCCTGGTGGTACACGCCTTGTTCGGCCAAGATGGATGCTGGAGAGAAGGATTCTGGGAGGTGGCCAGACATGTGGTGTTTCCTTTTGACCTTTCCCGAACTCTTCCAGTTGGTGGTGGCTTATTAGTACCCTGTTCCTTACAGGACCTCCTGTCATAAAATGATTCATGCAAATGGTTACTGCGGTGCCTGGCCAGGGTGGGCGGTGTCAGTCGGCGTGCTTCTCCTAACAGTTGTGCTTGCCAGGCTCAAGAACACGGGCTCAGTAACTGTGGCATGTGGGTTTTGTCGCCCCATGGGCGTGCGAGATCTTCCTGGACCGGTGATCAAACCCCTGCCTCCTGCATTGGCAGGCGGGTCCTTTACCACTGAGGCACCGGGGAAGCCCGCCCCGCTCCTCATCTGGAATTTAAATGGAACCAGACATATGCGTCTGAGCAAGCAGCTCTCTGCTACATCTAGCCCTCAAGCACTTGTCTGGATCAAACCTTGGCCCATCCGTCACCCTTCTGCACGGCCCCCGCAGGTAGCAAGGACGCTGGTCACACACTGCAGTGACCGCTGTGGGTGCTTTCCTGACCCAGTCCTTCCAGATAACCTGCTCTTAGTTGAGTGTCTCAGGGCCTCACCTAAGGGTTTTACTAGACTGGTGCTTCTCATGGGTCCACATGCTTGTGCGGCCCCTGTGAACTTTCTTAGAATGAAGACTGCGGTTCTGTGGGTCTGGGGCAGGGCCTGGTATTCTGCGTTTCTAACAGGCTCCCAGGAGAGGATGCGGCTGGTCCTTGGACCATGTTTTGGTGGCCAGGAACTAGGGGTTCTGGGCATGCCCCTTGGGGCCTGGGTGCCACTGTCAGGCCGTGGGGAGCAGAGCAAAGCCCACCTTGACCCAGCCACGCTCCTTCCATCCATGTGAGAGCTGGAGGGGGAGATGAATTAAAGGAAAGATAAACAGCAGGTCATATACTATTAACAGGAACTCTCCTGGGGTCTTCACGCATCTTCCTCCAACTGTTGAAGACATGCTTCCCTCATGTGATTGCTCATAGGAACCACTAAAGTTGGCCCTCCTTATCTACAGGGTTTTGCGTCTGCAGATTCAACCAGCCACAGATTGGACACATATATGTTTTTAGTTCCAGGAAGTTCCAAAAGCAAAACTTGAATATGCTGCACACTGGCAACTATTTACATATCATTTGCAATGTTTTCATCGCTATTTACATAACATTTACATTGTATTTACAGCCATTTACATAGCACTTATATTATATTTATAACTATGCATCATTTACAACTATTTACATAGCACTTGCATTCTATTTGGTGTTATAAGTAACATGGAGATGATTGAAAGTACATGGGAAAATGCATGCTTTGCAACTGTCATGCGTTTTTTATGTGGGACTTGAACGTCTGTGCATTTTGGTATCAACAGGGCTCCGGACCAACCTTAGCAGACGGGGGGTGGGGGTGGGGAGGGCGACTGTCCCTTGCCCTTTTTACCCCACCCCCAGGCGCGCACCGCCCTGACTGTGATCATGGGCTTCCTTGTCTGTCTGTCTGCCTGCCTGTTTCTGGCTCTTAATCACATGAGGGGAGGGTGGCGGTCTTCAGCACCATACCCCAGCACTGGGCACAGTGTTCACTCACAAATGCAAGTGGAATGAAAGAAAACAGTGAATACCAACGTCCGATCGTCAAGACTGCCCTTAAAACGGCGTTGGTTTCCCTCCCAGGGGCCCCAACACAGGACTGCTTAGCTGTGGCTGTGGTGGACTTTCCCAGGGGAGGATCGCGTCCTGGAACTTTTCTGCCCGGCTTCTCACTTTGTCCGTCTCCAGGTTTGCAGCCGGAGCACGCTGCCCGCCTTGGCCCACTCTTGGGGACTAAACCCACCGCGCTCTTGCCCTGGTGTAGCGCCTTGTCCCCAGCCTCCCGCTGCCAGCCCGCCTCCCCTCCTCCCCAGGCTCCTCCTCTAGAGCACATCCCTCCTCCCGTCTCCACGGGACCAGCCGTCCTCTGCCTGTCCAGAGATACACCAAGCGGTTAAGTCAGCAGGTTAGGTCGTCAGCAGGTCAAGACGGTCCGAAGGCTGAGTCGCCTCCGTCAAGCTTTTTTGATCACAAACAATGGGAATCAAAGCTGGCTGACTTGAGCCAAAGGGGCGTGGCCTGGAGGCCTGTTGGGTTGCTCCTGGGGCGCTCCAGAGCCTGGAAGGCGAAGGCTTGGAAATACCAGATCAGGGTCCAGGATGCACACCGGGCTTCCTGCAGCAGGGACACGCTCTCCTGCTGCCCTGCCATGCACGCGCGCACACACATACACGCACACACACTGCATGCCCGCTGCCCTGCCCCCCCCACACACACACTGCCTTCACACACACACACACACACTGCCTTCACACACACACACTGCCTTCACACACACACACACACACTGCCTTCACACACACACACTGCCTTCACACACACACACACACACACACACACTGCCTTCACACACACACACACACACACACACACACACACACTGCCTTCACACACACACACTGCCTTCACACACACACACACACACACACACACTGCCTTCACACACACACACACACACACACACACACACACACTGCCTTCACACACACACACACTGCCTTCACACACACACACACACACACACTGCCTTCACACACACACACACACACACACTGCCTTCACACACACACTGCCTTCACACACACACACACACACACACTGCCTTCACACACACACACACACACACACTGCCTTCACACACACACACACACACACTCTGCATGCGCGCAAACTATGGCTGTGAGTGAGCTCTGCAAGTGCCTTCCCCTGCATCACTCTGCAAGGGTCAGGGAGGGTCTGGCCGCCTTCCTTGGGCCCTGGGCCAGCCCCTGGCTGGAGGGAGGCATATGCTTTGATTGACAGTTGCCCAAAGAATTCACCCAGTGCTGGAGAATTCCTTAAAAGGAAATACAGTTGTTGCTTAGGAAAGAAAAGGTATTGCCTGGCGATCAAACATTATCAGAGAAAACACACGTCCACAGAGACCTCTTGTGGATTTGAAGCAAGCAAGGGGCAAGTCCGACGCGTGCCTGCGGCAGCCTGTGTGTGAGGAACCCCAACACTGAGAGGCCCCTGGGGGTGAAATCAGATGATGTCAGTGGTTCCCAAGGTGCAAAAGGAGTGGCCGGAACAAGGGTCCGGATTCACACCTTACGGCCAACTTGCCGTGCAGCCTTGGACGAGTTACCTCACCTCTCTGGTCTGTTATTTCAGGTACAAAACGGAGGCTTTTGCTTGAGATACAGGGTTATAGTCTCAAGGCAAGGATGCTGAAGTGGTTTGCCATTCGCTTCTACAGTGGACTGCATTTTGTCAGAACTCTCCATCATGACCCGTCTGTCTTGGGTGCCCTGCACCGCGTGGCTCATGGTTTCATTAAGTTACACAAAGCTGGGACCCACGTGATCAGTTTGGTTAGCTTTCTGTAACTGTGGTTTTCATTCTGTCTGCCCTCTGATGGATGAGGATAAGAGGCTTGTGCAGGCTTCCTGATGGGAGGGACTGGCTGTGGGGAAAACTGGGTCTTGCTCTGGTGGGCAGGGCCTTGCTCAGTGAATCCTTAATCTAATTTTCAGCTGATGGGTGGGGCTACGCTCCCTCCCTGTAGTTTGGCCTGAGGGGTAATGGTGACCTCCAAAAGGACTTGTGCCAGCCTGCCGTGCCTCCTAGAACTGCCGCCCTGACCCCGCAGCAGGCCACTTTGTCAACAAAGGTCCGTCTAATCAGAGCTATGGTTTTCCCAGTAGTCATGTATGGATGTGAGAGTCGGGCCACAAAGAAGGCTGAGTGCCGAAGAATAGATGCTTTTGAACTGTGGTGTTGGAGAAGACTCTTGAGAGTCACTTGAACAGCAAGGAAATAAAGCCAGTCAATCCTAAAGGAAATCAACTGTGAATATTCATTGGAAAGACTGCTGCTGAAGCCAAAGCGCCAATACTTTGGCCACCTGATGCAAAGAGCTGACTCACTGGAAAAGACCCTGTTGCTGGGAAAGATTGAGGGCAGGAAAATGGGATGACAGAGGATGAGATGGTTGGATGGCATCACTGACTAGATGGACATGAATTTGAGCAAACTCTGGGAGATAGTGATGGATGGGGAAGCCTGGCATGCTGCAGTCCATGGGCTCGCAGAGTTGGCCACGCCTGAGCGACCGAGCAGCAATAGGGAAGTGTACATTTAACAATGCGTATGGCAGCATGGTTTCATAGGACACAGTTTCTCAGGCATGTGGTATTTACGAAGGCAACGTGGGGGATTTGCCTGGTGGTCCAGTGGCTAAGACACAGTGTTCCCATGCAGGGGGCCCTGGTTCAAGTCCCGGTTGGGGGCCTAGAGCTCACATACCATAATGAGGAGCTCGAATGCCACAACTAAAAATCTGGCAACTAAGACCCGGAGCAGCTAAATAAATAAATAAATATTCAAAAAAAAAAAAAACACCAACTACAGAAACACAAAGGGATTTGGAGAGGAGAGGTGATGCTGTTTTATGAGTGAAAGTCACTCTATATAGTCCACAGGATTCTCCAGGCCAGAACACTGGAGTGGGCAGCCTGTCGCTTCTCCAGGGGATCTTCTCAACCCGGGATTGAACCCAGGTCTCCCACATTGTGGGCAGATTCTTTACCAGCTGAGCCCCCAAGGGAAATTGTTTTATAAGTAATAGTAATACTATGTCTCACACATAAAGCGTTTACCGTATGTCTAGCGTTAACGGGTCAGCACTCGAACGTGTCAGTTCATGTAACTCTCACAGTCCTTCTATGAAGCCCTGTGTCATCACCTCCCTGCTACTGGTGAGGAAGCTGGAAGATACAGAGGCCAAGCAGCGTGCTCAAGAAGACAGAGCCCGCGTCCCGGAGCTGACTCAGACCCCAGCGTCTGTGCCCTTTGCAAGCCTCTCTGATCAAAACCAGCCAGTTAAAACCGGCCCGGAGAAAAAGTGCCATGGTTTAGAAGAGCTGTGTGCCGCGACCCCTCCAGCCCCCACGCCCCGCAGACCGCCTGGAAGTGGCATACAGACGCAGCCCTTTCTGCAGTTGCTCAACCGTTACTGGGTTTTCCCAGCCTGAACACGCTGGAGACTTCATTTGCCTTCAGAGTCCAAGTTCAGTTCTAGGGCAGCGGCATCTATTTCAAGAGAAGTTGAAAAAAAGATTTTTTTTTTTTAAATGAAGATATGCTTGTGTGACCCACCACAGTTCCTGGCTGGCAGAGTCCATTTCACTTGCGCTGAGTGGCCCCGATGGAATATTTTTCAGTGCGCACATCTTTAACTGCCCCATTAACCAGATTAGTCCGTGGGAGCGTTCTCCTTCACCGCTGAGCGCAAATCTCATTACCGCGATTGGGCCCAGTTACTAATTGCTGACATCCTGGACCCGCCAGATGCGTTTGAAGGGGGGCGGCGTGTGGGTGGGAACATGTGTGCTCATCTTGGTGGATTGGATTGTACCTAATGGCCTTTCCCGGTAGGCCTGCCCTGGTTCTTGAATACATAGCGAAAAGAGACCTCCACAGAATGACTTTCTGAGGATGACCTTGGAGACCCTCTGGGCCCACGGTTACCTGGACCCGCCAACCTGCGGGGGGGACCAGAACCAGGCTGTGCTGTCGGCAGGCTGGAGCCAGCGCCCCTGCCCCCAGCCGGGATCCTCCGTGGGTGTCCCTGGCTGAGCTGCGGCCACGCCACGGACCCTGCACCTTCGCCATGTCGGTGGACCACGTGCTCTGTATTGAATGTCTTTCGTGACAGTGACCTGTGCTTTAAACACCATTTATTTCCAAGGCTTCTCTAAACAGAAAATGAACTGTGCACTGTGCTTGGTCGCTCGGTCGTATCCAGCTCCTTGGGGTCCCATGGGCTGTAGCCCGCCAGCCTCCTCCGTCCATGGGATTCTCCAGGCAAGAACGCTGGAGTGGGTTACTATGCCCTTCTCGAGGGGATCTTCCTGACCCTGGGATCGAACCCATGTCTCCCGCTCTGCAGGTGGATTCTTTGTCATCTGAGCCACCAGGGAATGAACACTCGCCCCAGAGTTGCAGGAACCCTGCAAGTGAAATGGATGAAGACACAGCCAAGGGGTCAGCTTCCAGACGTGTGGTTGCCTTTATCAGGAAGGAAAGTGAGTGACGATGGAGAGAGACCCAGACGCGTGAAGGCCTGACCGTTTTCCTCAGGAAGATGAAGAGCCGAAGGGGCTTTCCCACAGTGAGCTGAGCGGCGCTGGGTCTGTCTGTGAACACCCATCCGTCCTCCCCAGGACCGTCTGGCCGCGCCAGGCTGCAGGAGAGGAGAGGACGAGGGACACGGACAGAGGGGGCCCAGGGTCTGCTTCTGCCTCCCCCGCGTGGACGTGGGGAACGGGCCGGTTGCCTCGCTGTGATATTGCACCTGTTAATTCACTTCCCTGTCTTGATCCCAGTTGATGCAACTACTGGGGGAACCGCACTAAAGGGATATAAATCCCACAAGTGGGATTTAAATCCTTCCTTCGTGACTCCTAGTGGTCAACAGAAGGCAGAGACGTGCCTTGACCATCACGCGGCCCTGCTGGTATAACCACCTCCAGCAACATCGACAGCAGTGTCCTCGTGAAGGGCTGTGGAGGCCGAGGCGCCTCAGCAGCCCTTCTGTGCCCACATGCGCCTTACGACTCGGACGTTCGTGTAACACGCACCAGCACTTTCTCAGGGCTTCCCTTGTAGCGCAGTCAGTGAAGAACCCGCCTGCAGTGCAGGAGACCCGGGTTCGATCCCTGGGTCGGGAAGATCCCCTGGAGAAGGAAATGGCAACCCACTCCAGTATCCTTGCCTGGAGAATCTCATGGACACAGGAGCCTGGTGGGCTGCAGTCCACGGGGTTGCGAAGAGTTGGGCACGACTGAGTGG